CAGCTGCACTCCACCATAGTGTGCAAAACTGTGGCTTTCATACCCCCTTTCTATATACATGGAGTCCCCTCTCTCCTCTCAAGGTCCTTAACCAGAACATTATGCATTGTGAGCTACGGTATCCCACTAAATACAAGAGTCGGCACAATGCAAAACAACAACAACATGCAACTCTGAAGGATCAGCCGGTGAGAGACAGAGAGGGAAGCAGGCCCCACTGAGCCCTCTTGGGGGTGCAGACCCACTCAAAAAGCATGGATTAAGCCTGTGCTTTTAAATATTTATGCAAAGACAAAAATAAATCAGGCAGTTGCTACTGATTATTTCAATGCATGGCACTAGAATACTAACATGCCAGGGGAGAGCCTGTATGCAGCACTACAATGGTGTTTTCAAAGGCAGTTGAAGAGTACAAGGGAAAATGGCAAGACCTCACAGAACCCTTAAAAAGTTCTGTCTTGTTTATCTCTGAAAGAATCTAAATGTTTGTTGTGTGACTTAATTCTTTAAAAAATAAATAGCTTCATGTTTTAAATGGTTAAGATGTCCAGTACTTGCATAGAAAGAGGGGGGGCTGTTGGCACTTATAAGTTTGTTGTTGTAGTAGTTATGGCATATTGTATGCTCGTTCCAAATTTCACAAACAGAGAGTAAAACAGAGCTTGTATAAAATAAAGATGCAGTTTTGAGTTGAATCTTAGCACCTGTTTGTAACGCAATGCTAACGAAGCCTTCTGTATTAGAGTGTCAGCCACGGCCATGCAATCAGAAGTCAAAGATTGTGTCACTGTTTGTACTCCCCAGACAGGATTTGGTAAACGTAGGTGTGCAGGACTGGACATGGTCATGGTCAAGGGTCACAAGTCTGGACAGAACTCGTGGTCAAGTCTTTGGGCTAAACTAGATCATGGTTGCATTACCGTGACCCAACATAATAATAATCTTGACTTGGAGATGACATTTGCCATGGGTTTCCAGGTAGAGAGCACTCTGAAGTAGATCTGCATTCCCTTCTTCTGGGGGGGGGGATGGTGGAGCTTGCCCAAGGCTACCCAGGCTGGCTCCACCTGCAGGAGGCTTAGTTGGGAATCAAACTCCCAACCCCTAGCTCTGCAGATACTTAACTCACTGAGCTATCCAACCTAAACATTTACCACGTCCTATGATCCAACACAGGATAAATTTCTACAGAGCAGTAGAGGCCAGCAGGAAGGGAAGGACAGGACCTGAAACTGCTCCTCCAGAAGAAAAAGTCGGAAGTTGACTTTCTCTGTACATTCAGTTTACCATCACAGCGCTACTTTACAGGCATCGGGCACCCATCCGGTGCCAGTACAGAGGTCTGACGACACAGCCCCAAGACTGCAGGTTGGCATAAGACATGAGGGAGCTCTGCCCTAGATAGCAGCAACAGCAAGATTTCAAGGCTCATCATGAAACCAGCTGCTCCTACTAGGCATAATCAAATGTTAGGTGCATGAACTGCAGAGGCTCATGTGGGCCCGTGGTGGTAGGAACAGATGAAGTTCACCTATGTCAGTACTTCACTACATCAGTTGCATCCAAACCATACTGTGGCTCTGCCCCAGTTGTGTTTTGCCACCTCCGGGTGGCATCCTTGGTAGTATGTGTGCTTGATGATACAGTGCAGCTATGCCACTCCAGAGCAGAGAATGCATCCTATGCTAGATACAAGAAAATTATTCTAGGTGGCTATAAATTGCAGATTTTGTTAATCCCTTTTCTTTTCAAGAAGAACTCTCCAATTGATCCAGAGCTCTGAAAGTGCCTGTTAAAGTCAAGAGCCCTCCTAACAGCTGAATCAGCCTCATGATAGGGAATTCTGTTTCTGACTAAAGGATGCAACAGTTTAGCTTTTTAAAAAAGAGGTCGGTGCAAGATGCTGTTGCCAGAAGAGTCTTGACAAACAACGCCACGTTCCCCATGGTTGATGAGAAGGCAGAGTTGAGTGAAAGGAAAAGGGAGGGGGAAAACTGCCCACTTGGAGTAATCCCTAAGGGTTTCTCCAAGGAATTTCAAAGTAAGGGACTACAGTACTTAATAAAATCAGGCCTCATGGAAACACAACAGCCACTCCCAACACACACATATATATCCACATATATTAGAAAGGGGGAGCAAAGTGTATATAATCATCTGCAATGAACTAAGTTCTCCCAAATGTCTTTTAAATTCACAAAGCCACAGGACCCCACTGGGGCTTTATGTGGACAATGTCTTCATAATTTCCCCGATTAACTAAAGAGGTCCAAAAGATGTTGGAATAAACATATATTTTCCCACTCCATTGTTTGTTTAGTTTACTGTTGGTCACCTATTTGGGCTTCCAATTTGTTGGATTTTGTCCCCTGCACGCACCAAGCTATAGATTCCCACCTCCTGATGCTCCTCTCTCTTACTTCTGCACATAAAGTGATACACTTCAGTCCAGATCCAGTTAAGAGTTATTTCATTCCAAGAGATTCAGGAATGAGGAATGGCTCAGATGAGCCCTCGTCTGTCTTTACTGTCCCTGCAAGGGTCAATTCAAGAAGCCCACAACATCTCAAAGCCCACGGAATGAGGGATTGGACATGATTAGCAGCAAAGGTAGAGAAAAACTAGGAAAACGCATGAGAGAATGAAGATCTTCAAGGGGTAGCCTTGAGACTTCCAGCAACATTTCTGAAGCTGGTTCTGGGGACTAGTTTATGATATTATGTTAATGCACAGATTAGCACACAACAGCTGCCACAAAGAACTCCCATTCTTTGGCTCTACTTATTACGTAAGCCTAGCCACATACTTTTTTTGCATTGCAACTTCTGAGCAAAAGAGATAAGACTTCTGATTTGCACAGGCATTCTGAATAACAAAAACTGCAGAGAACGCACTATTTGGCTACAAGTGATACAGTCTTGTTACCTTAGGAAAAAGGAAATCCATTCTCCAGTTAGCGTGCACTAGATATGTTAGGTGTATACTTAAAGCTGCAATTCTGTACATTAGACCTGATGGGACTAACTTCAGTCTTGATTTGCATAGGATTGGCTAGTCCATTTCTTCCCTCAACAAAAATGATACTTAATAGGTGCTAAACACAAATGCGGGATTCATTCTGAAACTTGTAGATTTTGGGAACATCTCTTTCAACATAATTCAGATATTTATTTGCCTCCCTCTTTAATGATCTCCTTTAATGACACTCCTTCCTGTCAATGTAAACAAACATCTGGCATTGCTCAGATCCTGCAATTTTCCAGAACAGAAAACACCATGTCGTGGAGGAGGGAGGGTTTTATAAGTGATAGTGCAAGACTATTGATCTTTTCAACCAGGTAACCGTATTTTTTAACATTTGCAATTTTTTTTCCAAAATAGAGTTACATTTCACTAACAAAGTAACAAAATAAAGTTTAAATAGTGAGGTAAACCATTGCATACCAGCAAACTTCACTGTCTACAATGTAATTAAATATTAGTATCACTGAACAAAAATCTTACAAAAAACCTTGGAAAAATAAAATAGAAAAAAATCTTCACTATAACTGCATCCAGAAGTTGAGTAGTACTCTGTAAGAATATGCTCTCAAAAGAGGTTGTTTGTATACCAGGTTCTGATTCCAATAGAGTTCTGCAGACAGAACAGAATTGTGTCACTGTGTAGCCACAACCCTATCCAAACTCTACAGAGAGAACACTCTTTAAAAAATCTCCTAATTTCCTTATTTTTTGTACTACCCTGTTTCCCAGAAAATAAGACCTAACCTGAAAATAAGCCCTAATATGATTTTTCAGGATGCTCGTAATATAATCCCTACCCCCAAAATAAGCCCCAGTGAAATGAAAGCCCACCCTCCACCCTTGTGCAGCAACCAGAAGATGACATGACTGTGTTTGAATAAATTTAGATTATACATGGAAAAAAAAAAAAAAGATCCCCTGAAAAAAAGCCCTAATGTACGTTTTTGGAGCAAAAATTAACATAAGACCCTGTCTTATTTTCAGGGAAACAGGGTAGCATAGGTATTAAAATGAACAGCCTCTGACTTTCAAATTGTTTGGAAAGATGATCCTTATGTGATTATTCTCTCAAAAGAGAGAAGGAGTGCTAGACAAAGCAAAAACCGAAGCATTAGTTCAGAAATCGACAAAGTCCTGCATTTCCTCTCTCCTCCACTGTTAAAAGAATTGTTTTGCAGCATTTTGACATTCGCACATTGCCTGTGTTCTGGTCCATGCAGGAGAGTTTTAGATCACCTGACACCCACAATGTTTTTTTTTTAAACCATGTAACCTTCAGCCTTCTATTGCATTCGGATTAGTTCATTGTAAATATACATATATACATACGTACATATATACACAAACACATATACATCCATGCGTGTGTGTGTATACATATATATGTAAAAAAAAGATTTCTAGGAATGAAACAGTAAAAAAGAAAGAAATATGTACAATTCTGCTCTTTCACACACAGACCTTAAACTGTGAGGAAGGCCTTGGAATAAAGGTGCACTTTGTCCATTTCTGGAGAGAGTTAATGGTCTCTTTTGGCATAAAAATGCAATTGGTTTTTATACACTAGTTCTTGTGTTATCAACGCTAACAACGCAGGCCAACACAACCCTGTTCTTTCGCGCAAACCCCACTCAGTGAAAATGCACTTTGCTGATTCCCATCTCTCATTTTAAAATATATATTTTTTTAACTGCTCCTCTTTTTTTTTCTTTTTGGAACAAAGAAGGTGCTCCGAAAGCATAATTTTAGTATCTTCAGCTAAGAGGAACCAAAAGTGTCTTGTTGACCTTTTTTTTTTTCTGAGTATGACTTGCCCCAAAGTAAATGCTGAGGCCGAAGCACTTAAGCACGTGTAAATAAAAGGTTAGGAGAGTTACCACACTGAACGTATACGCTTGACGTTTCTGTTGCAAGACGTTTGTTTATCCTTTATAGAAAGCTATATTGTTATGTTATGGTGGTTTCTCTCTCTCTCCCTCCCTCCCTCCCTCCCTCCCGGCTTCTTTCCATCTCCTCCGCTTTGAGAAGGCCCCTCAAGGTGACAGAACACGGATGCGAAACAAGCCTTGCTGGAGCTGGAGCCGGAAAAGCTTGCAGTTCGCGATACGTAAAGCGGCACATCCCGTCCGGCGAAGATCGGAAGACGACAACAGCTTTGTATGGTGCCACGTCCCGGTGCTTCTTTTGAACTCTCGGACATAGTCGTAATTGGTTCCTGTCAAGAGAGACACTTTCAGGATTTCAGAGCAGTTGAAAACGTAAAGCAAAACTGAGCCAACGATTGTGCATTGCGCACCTTGCGCTCTAATTATACAGTGAAGTTCTAGGAGAACTATGAGCTAAACATGGGAAGTGAGTGCTACATTTGTTTCCTATAACTTCCTAACCATGCCGTAACTCTCTGAAGGAGCCCCGTGGTGCAGTGGTTGAACTGCAGCACTGCAGCCAAAACTCTGCTCATGACCCAGGAAGCCGGCTCAAGGTTCACTCAGCCTTCCCTCCTTCCAAGGTCAGTAAACCGAGCACCCAGCTTGCTTGTGTGTCTGGGGGTGGGGAGGCGCAACGTGTAGCCTGCATAATTCAACTGTAAACTACCCAGAGAGTGCTTTAAGCACTATGGGGCAGTATATAAGCAGCACGCTTGGCTTTTTGCTTTAACAGACGAGAAGGTCTGAGCAGTACTCTTGCAGGTAATGTACTGCACAGATGCTAGTAAAAACTAGGAACGTTTTGAAGGGAAGCGGTGAAGGGTCCATTCCCGGAAGAGGGAGACTTAAAACAGATAAATGGAAACATGAGGCCTTGTTGGTCAGAGTATCAAATAAGCCTGCCAAGGCATGGACAACTACAGAAATAGAACTCTGAAAAATCACATTCAAGGCATATGGCCTTGTTAGCCTGTCCTTTCTCGGGATTTCTGTCCATGATCCACTTTCATCTGAAGATAGTAGACACAGGGACATACTAGAGGTCGAGACCAATGGGCATCTGAAGCATTTTGGCTAGTTATGGGGTTGGGTCGTCACTGTACAGTGGAAGATTGTAAGATTTCCTTGTATGCTGGATTTCCTAATCTGAAGGTGTATATGCCAGCCAGAAGGAAATTTACTGCCACACTCTTTGCAAAGTGGAAGAGTCCTGTTAATCATAACCCACTGGCATGTTTAACTATTCTAGGCATCAAGAAAGCCTTTAAATGAAACCAATAATGAATTAGGGAAATAAATGCAATGCAAGCAGTCAATGTGGCTTTCCAGCAACAAGTACTAATGTAATAATTTGCACTCTTATACCGAACACAGCCTGCTGGCTGTAGCCCAGTTTATCCCATGTGACTTTTGAGAGCTGCAGTGCTACAGGATTTCGGCTACTGTAAGATTTTCCTTTTTTGTTGCACTGAGATAACATAGCTTTTGGGCAGCTAGATTTTTCAAAACAGCCTGGGCTGCTACATTTTTTTCCTGTTATCCAACAGCACATTCGCCTCTGTTTAGCTGAACACCTCTTAATGCTGCTTCTTGTTCCTCAGCTGCTGGAGGTTAGAAACCATCACTGCCGTTCTGACTTTGGATGTTTTTTTTCATCCAATATGTTATTCGCCTCCCTGTGCTGCTTGCTTTTCAATTTTATTTCACACCCTGTGCTGCTTGCTCTTCAATTTTATTTCACAAAAGCCTTATGTGAACACAAATAGGATTCTGGCCAACAGGAATTTCAGACATACTGTACTCCGCCAATGGAAGCAGCAAGAATTTTTTGGAGTGCATCGGCCACCTGCGTGCCACAAGTTATCTGCTGATAAATAGCATTTTAAAGTCATACGGTAAAGAAGCCCCAATACATGTGCATCAGTTGCTAACCTGTATCAAGTTCTCCAACCACGTAAATGCTAGCACCGATGGGTACAGCTCCATATACAAATGAAGACGTGGCTGGGATGCACAGGTTCTGATCATTCAGGTAGATCCACCTGCAAGATACAGCAAGATTTAGAGTATGATCTGGAGAGCAACTTGTTCAACACGGGAATTGTTCTGTGCCATCAAGCTGACTCCGACTTACAACAACCATAAGAATGAACGATCTCCAGAATTTCATGTCCCCAACCAAAAAAAATATATATGAAGATCTGCCCACCTGAAGCAAAAAGAAAGCGAGTGAAATGTTATTCTGAGGCTCATGGCGCAGGGGGTTCAACTGCTCTACTGCAGCTAAAGCTCTGCTCACCACCTAGGTTCAATCCCAGGTGGGCGGTTCAAGGTTCACTCAGCCTTCTGTCCTTCTGATGTCAGTAAGCTGAGTATCCAAGCTTGCTGGGGGAGCAATGTGTACCCTATATAATTAAACTGTAAAGCACCCAGAGAGTGCTTTAAGTGCTATGGGGTGGTATATAAGCAGTACAATTCGCTTTGGGCTTTTTTTAAGGGGCTATAACTCTTACATCCATTAAGCTCAAAAGGATATCAGCACTCTTTCTATGCACTGAGGATGTATGAACGTAGACCAGCTCAATATGGACAAGACCACAACAACCACGTTGTCTACTGTTTGTAACTGAACATGCCAGGAATTGTTCGGGCAGATCATACTTTCTGGCTGCTGTTCCATTTCGCTTGCATGTGAGATTGAGTTTATTTATTTCACCAATTTCTGCCCTGCTCTACATCTGCTCTTTCTGTCCTGCTCTACATCTGCTCTTACAGCTCCTGAAACCTTCACACAAGAGATCATCACTCCACAGCAGCACACAGATTTTGGGTGCAGACGGTCTCAAGCTCAAACTCTTATTTCTCCAGAGCTCTCTGGAAGACTCCTTCACAAGGCAGCTGTTCCCAGTCGAAAACAGACAATGTTCAGTTGGTCTGATGAGCATCAGGACAGCTTAGTATGAAATTTCCCACTTTCCTATTCACTGTCTTCTTGCAATCCCTATTCCTTGTGCTCAGCTTCTTCAAATGTCCACATTTCTTTTAAGAACAGGTTAGGGTCACTTCCAACCATCCATCTGCAGTAACTATATCCCCTGCTGAAGTATTTCTATTTGATATGGTGCAGTTTGAAAATAAATAGGGGAATGCAGATAAAGCTTCAAAGGTACAAGGGTGTACATCTGAAACACTGTTCTGAACAGTTCACAGTCTCTGTATGAGGACTCCTCTCTCCTTACACTGAGAGAGGCCCGGAAGGAAAGAACAAGCAATCAGGCCTTCTCAGCAGTGGTCCCTCAGCTATGGAATACCCTCCCAATGGAAATCCGTCTGGCTCCCTCGCTGGGTGTTTTCAAAAGCCATTAAAAACCTGGCTCTTTAGGCAGGCCTTCCCTCCAATTAACTGATTTTCTGTTTCTTAACTATCCCATCTTGACAATGTATATAGACGTTAGCTATTTAGTTAGTAGGTTTTATTAGGTATGTTATTTTATTGTGTTTTATTACTCATGTAAGCTGCCCCAAGTAGACCTTGTCTATAAGTTCAATAAAACTAAAAAGTAAAGTAAAAGTAAAGTAGCTTATCACCATGCTGCAGTGAGAAGATGGTACTCTAGATAACACATTTTAACCCTTTGCTGGTGCACACTGCTGAACATGGATGGGTCACTGCCGACTATATAACAAGGATTATGGAAGGCATCGTCAAATCAACCTTATCAAATAGCACCCTCTGCTGGTTACCAGAAATACAAGTGATATTACATTACTAGAGTCAGTGACCAAACACAAGTGTGATAGAAACTTTTATATTACACATTTACTATGAGACCACTAGAGCACCTCAGCAAAGTTGGTGGAGTGGGTATCCCTGTCTCCGTGGGCTTTGTGGCTTTCTAACTGCACGGTGTCCAACAGAAACACTGACCGAGAGGTATGTTTGGCATAGGCAAACAGGGGCAAGAGGTTCCACCTTTATGAAAGTATAATCCACAAAAGTATTAACCTCCAGTCATGCAGATAAACTAAAGTCACATCAGATTTAAGTGAAAACCAAGAAACCAGCAAGCTGTTTCCCATACATTAGCCATTCTTAATAAAAATATAACCTGTATCGGGGTCAGATTTACCTAAACAACAAGACAGATCTTTTCTTGAAGGTGATGGAATGTAACCTGGTGGCAGCTTGCACTGTAGAATGCAAGCTACCACCAGGTTAACAGGACGAAGACAGAGCTTCTCTCCTATCAACCAGACTAATGACCTTCTGAGGTCTTCTGCAGAAAAGCTCCTGATGGTTCCAAATGGGTCTGAGATCTGAACACAGCCCATCAGAAGCAGGGCTTTTCATTAGATATACATTTACAGACTGAGATCACACAGGGATTTACCTCCTTCCTCTTTTCAGTCCGTACTGAGGACCTCTCTCTTTAGCTAAGTGTTTCTTGGATAACATTCTAGCCATAGCTTTATGAATGTATTTGTTCTTATTTTTTAAAAAAATCGCTCCTTCAGATATAATGTACGATATTCTGAAATGTTCAACGCAGAGCAGTGTGCAAATTCTATAAACGATTAAAAGAATTTAACTGGTTCTGTACAAGAGTTCCAGATTCCCACTGTGGTGTCGTGGCTAGAGTGATGAATTAGAAAAAGGTACAAATCCATGTACATGAAAACTCCATGAAAATTCACTAGGAGACTGGAGCTGGTAAAACCACTTCTTCAATATCTCAATGACCATGAAAGCCCTTTCAGGGTCACTCTAAACTGGTTCTGACTTGATGGCACAGAACACACATGGATTCCGTATGTCCACCTACATTATCATCATCCAATCAAATTACAAGAGTTAAAGAGACAGCAGCCATGTTACAAGCTGCTCAGTTATACTGCTAAGCTGCATAAAAAATTGTTACCTCTTAAATTCATCATGATAGAACTCTGATTTACACGTCACCATCTCATTGGATTGGTTATCATCACGACTTCTCACTCCGCCGAAGACGTAGAGCTCGGAAGCTACTCCGCACGCCATAGCTCCAAACCTGGAAAACAGAATACAGTCATGCCTCGCTTTACGATTGCCCCACATTACGACGAAACCACATTACAACGATCTTTTTGCAATCGCAATTGCGATCGCAACGATGGTCTAAATGGGGTTTTTTGCTTTATGATGATCTGTTCCCTGCTTTGGGAACCAATTCTTCGCAAAACGATGATTTTAAAACAGCTGATCAGCGGTTTCAAAATGGCCACCGGGTAAACAAAATGGCTCCCTGCTATTTCCTGGGACGGATTCCTCACAAGACAGGCAGCGAAAATGGCTGCCCTATGGAGGATCTTCGCTGGACGGTGAGTTTTGACCCCATTGGAACGCATTGAAGGGGCGAGACACCACTGTACAACACTTAAGAGAATTCTATGTCATCACACTAAGATTGAGGAATTAGCTTTAGTGAACTTGGCAAGTAAAAGATGACATTCTAAAGTATCCATGCAACACAAGGAGATATATATTACACCACCCAATTCTCAGGCATAAAATGATGGTAACCAACATTTACAGAGGCTATATGAGTCATGGGCTTTTGAATTTCAGCTGCTCTATCATCTTTCACTCTTCTGTACATTCTGTAGCCAACAAACAGACACAACGCAAATACTAGCTGGGCTTCCTCTCCCTTTCATCCTCACCATCCACATTTTTGTGACACTGATGTAAACGTTAGGGTTTAGTTGCCAGAAAGCAATACAGTCTAAGAATGGAGAAGGGGAAAATGCAACTGTTTCGTTTGCAAATAACAATGCCATAATAAAAATAACAGGTCTGCTGCTAAAATAAAACAAACTGAGTAAGAAATAGCGCTCTATAAGACCAAAAAGACAGCAAAGCTAAAAAGTAGTTAAGAGGAAAGGGAAGGATAAAGAATAAATCCTAAATTAAAGCCAGTGATGCTTTTTGTCTAAACCTGCAACTCTGTTTAGCTGCTCCAGCTGAACCTGTTCTCTAGTGGTTGCTAATCTTGCTAAATCGTGCCCAGCGATTTTGTTTTTAGAGAGACGCTGGAGACAGATTTAAAACAAACTGAAAAGTAGGAACATTTAAGACAGCAGAACTCTCCCATTCCAGCTCTCTTGATCTACCATCTAGAAGAAGGATGTGCATGTCTTGTCGGGGGGAAAAATCTGACCTACTGGTGCACATGGATTATCTCCATGGTGATCCTTGTTGTATATGGTAACCAGACTGTTGCTAAAATACAAGGCTGTATAAGACATATCCCTGTGGAATGATGGATGGTGTATAAACAACGAAACATGCTTCTAAAAACCTTAAGCAATATACGTTAAGGCTTTACTCACCGTCGTTCTTTCAATGGGCAGATGGCTGTCCACTGCTGGGTCCTGGGGTCATAACACTCAACAGATTCAAAGAGCTTGCCGTAGGAACCCCCACCCATTGCAAAGATCTTCTTTTTCATTGCTGCATAGCAACCGATCTTTAAAAGAAAATCCCAAGCTATTACACGTCAATATTAACTTGGTGGGGACAACACTGTCCTATCACAATAACAGTTTCCAAACCAACCCGCCAAATGCAAAACAACTGAATCGAAATTATATCTCGCGTAGCAAATGGGGAATTTCCACCCAGGCTTATGTTTTGTTGCAGAATTCACAAAGAACTAGACCTACGACATAGATACTATATTATAGGACACCATTGTCTTGGTGGAATTTTTTTAATCGTTCATTTTTTGATTCCAGCTAATATAATACATTAGGACAAAAAATGTCCCACACCTAACTTATTTATTTAGGAAAATCATGATGTAGAGAAACCAATGTGCTCTGGATTAGCTCCAGTCAGGGAGAGGGATTTTTTGATTGCAGTTAATATAATACATTAGGACAAAAAATGTCCCACACCTAATTTATTTATTTAGAAAAATCATGATGTAGAGAAAGCAATGTGCTCTGGTTACAAGGAGATTAGCTCCAGTCATGGAGATGTACACCCTGAAATTCTAACTAGGAATGTTAAATCCTAACCTGAATCACAATTTTCAGTGCATTGCGATTCTCACTGGGGACATAAATCACACCATCATGCATTCAATGCATTTCTTTTTCTATGCTTTTTCTCTCTTGCACCTTTAAAAGGAAGAGAAAGGGTTCTTTCATTGATTAATAAGCAGATTGTTAGTGCATACCATTCCTTATACAATTCAAACAGAAAATACAATCAGTAAAATAAAGGCTTTGAGAATAGAGCACTATCTGGGATATACTAAATTAATTACAACGAAGATTGGCCTTCTGAAATTTATATCAATTTGACATTTATCTATTCTGCATAGTAAAGAATTTACCAGCAAATTATCTAATAATATAATTGCTTAATGTATCTTTTGCTTCTTTTAGTTAAACAATCAGCGCAGGGACTATATACAAAAAGAAGGCACGCTGTGCTATGTTGTTGTGATAGTGGTGGTGCTATCAGACTGATACAAAATGTACCTTTCTGTTACCATGTAAGAACAAAATGAAACAGATATACTGAATTGATGGTTGAACCAAAGCAAAAAACACAAGCGGAACAAAACACATGGACACAAATCTACGCAGGGGCATAGCAGTTGCCCTGAGAGCAAAAGAAAATTTTTTTTAGGAGGAGCAAACTCAGGTTGAGGAGAGTAAATCCACAGGATGGAAACACCATGGTTTTGAAATTGTGTGTAACGCTCAATACATTTTAGGCATTTTGATTAATGAGGGACTCAGACATTCAACCCTATGAAATGCTTTTCTTAGCTTAAAAAGAAGAAGAAGAATTAGCCCATGTTCTTGTATAGCTCCTACCTTTCTAACCATGGTCATGTCTGGCTGTTTGGTCCACGTCATATTGTAAATATCATAAGACTCCATGGAGACAAGTTCTCGCTCGCCATCCTCACCACCCAGAACATATAACACTCCTTCAATTTCAACCATACCGAAGTTGTGCCGTGCCTGTCAGAAACCAGCAACACACATGAAGTTTGTTTATGCCATTCCAACAGCAACCATCATCTCAGATTTTGTTAACTACATTTTCTATACAAAACATACATCAAGAAATCACAAGGCATCTCATAAGTCAAAATGTTATTATGAATATGGTCGGACCCCCAAATCCACTGGGATTGGTTTCAAGTTCCCCCATGGATAAATATTGAATGTGCATTACCAGAGCTGGCCATTAGAGGGCCAGAGACCATGCTATGTATTCTTCACTAACGACTATTCCTAGGACGATCTCTGGCTCCATCTAATGGCTGGCTCTGGTAATGTGAAAATAATATTTTTTTTGGATTTTTTCCCTTAATGTTTTTAATACCTTCAGACTGTGGATAAATGAAACCACAGATACTGATTTTGTAAATGCGGGGGTCCTACTGTACATTTCTGTGGAATCAAATAGGTATGATCAATGCAAAACTGAGCTACGGAACATCACCAAGGAAGAGGAACCCCCATGACCTGAATGCAAAATCTTACCTCTGTCATTGGCGGCAAAGGGGTCCAAGAGTTGGTATCTGGATCATACTTTTCTCCAGAGCTCAAGGTAACTCTATTTTCATCTTGACCTCCAAGGACAAACAGGAATCCTTCTGAAAGAGTGTCCATATAAAGATTTTAAAATGCAAGAAGCATTGGTAGCAAATTTAGCTGGCATAGGGATTTATGAGAACATAAAGAATAACCTAGCTGGAATAGATCAGAGCCCCATTTAGTTCAGAACCATGTTTCCCATAATGACCCATCCTGGGTCTCAAGGAAGTCCACATGTAGGGCATGGAAGGAAAGAACCAAATGATGCTTCCGTGTCAACTGGGGTTGTGGCCACAATGACACGTCCCATAGTTATAGCCCGTCTGGATTAATGCCATGCACTCTATGTGCAGCTGCCTTTGAAGAGTATCCTGAAACATCAGCTGGTTCAAAATTCTGTAGAGAGAGCGCTGACAGGCCTTGGTTGCAGGAAGCATATAACTTCCTTATTACAACAGTTTCATTGATTGCCAGATCTTTGTGGGTCCAATTCAAGGCACAGGTTATAACTTATAAAACCCGATAAGGCTTGGGTATAGGATATCTGAAGGATCACATAACTCCATATGAGCCTTCTTGGCTTTTAAGGTCCTCTGGAGAGGCCTTCTCAGTTCCATCATCTTCCCAAGCTCATTTGATGAGGACATCAGAGACGGCCTTGGTATTTCTTCCATCCTACAGCTTCATCTTCCAACAACTCCAGGTCATATAATTGATCTTTTGAGGGACATGGGTCTAACATAGCACTTGGGTTTAATTGTAACAAACCAGTCGGTCTACATGATTTTGCTCCAGCCAAATGAAACAGAAGGTTAAACCTGAGCAATTTTGTCTATTCTGTTTGGCAGAACAGTTGACTAAGGTGAGATTCCAGTCATTTCAACGTGAAAGATTCCTGTAAATACATGTTTGGCAAGTCCCCACCAGATACCATTTCTAAGGCTGTAAAAATATCTCAAAGGCATTCCTCTTGGTTACATAATTTAAAGTTCTTTCCTGGAAAGTGACCTGCATTTCCTTTGTCAATATACTCTAACAAAGAAGTGAATGAACATGAATTTCACTCATTCTCACTCTCATCATCATAGGCATCCTTCAGTCTCGAGAGACTATGGTAATGTGCTCTGTATGACTTGTGTTTTGATGCTGTATGCGAAGCTGGAGTGTCCTCTCCAGGGCACGAAGCCTGGGTAAAATAGTATGGAGGATAGGCTGTTACCCAAGCAGCAAATCCCCCCTCTCCACATCGCTGAAATGGTCCAATGGAAAGGCAAGAGCCAATACAAATGGTTCCAGCAACGTTGCAGGAGTTGACAGAATAACACGAACTGCCTCCGGGACTCCGGCTCCGGATTTTGCCTCGAGGTTGACTCTTGAAGCCTTTTCCATCAGTGGATAAGGCCACACACTCTATATTTAGGTATTATTTTATTTATTTCTTAGATTTGTATACCGCTCAATAAGAGCTGAGCAATCCCATACCACAACCACTTTACCATACATGGCCTCTGTTTATGATTTCCTTTCGATTTTTGTTCCCTGCGTCATTATTCACAGGTCACTCTTCTCCAAGGCCATGATCCAAAGCATCAAAAAAGACCACTTGGGCCTTTGTAAACAATTTTGGAATCAGAAACAAATGATTCCCCTACCTGCTGAAACCACGCTGTGGTTTGTCCTGGGTATACTCATAGGGGCCAGCTCTATCCACAGCTGTCTATTAGGATCGTAAAGCGGGCACATGCATCGCATTGCTGCGGAGGGCTTCTGAGACCTAAACACGAGAGAAGGAACAAATTAACTCACCATTGTTGTAGCACTAGACATATGTTTCAACTGAATTAGAAATAATGATGAAAAACAGAGGCTCCTAGTCAAATCCTTTCCCCTTTATTTAGAAGAACATACTGTTTGATTCATACCCATATAAGCATGGAAGCAGGGGCAGTGAGGAGGAAGCAGAAGGAACGGATTCTATCGTTTTGATATAAAACTATTCTGGGCCACACCATTCTCCCAGTGAAATAAAGCCATTTGCTTCCATGTTGAGAGATAGTGACAGGAAGAAGTTATTTACATAAACAAGGGGTCCCCAGGGAAAATCAAAAACATTCTGTGCATTTTAGATCACAGATTATTATTATGCTTCAGGAACACCTATTTCTCTGGCCAGCCTGCTGATTCTTCACGCTAAGTGTTTGTTATGGGCCACAGAACGGATGTCAAAAAGCAAAAATCTCTCTGCTTCACAAGAGAGAAGAATCCCTGTTCCTTTACTTTAACAACACTGCAAATGAGCTGGATTAAAAAAACCTGAGAGGACATGGGGAAAGGGCTGTTTGTTTTTGTTCTACAAATGCCTACGGAAGAGTTCACACAGCGCTATGAGAGGGATATATCTACAGCACTTTTTAATGCTTCGACTTGCACAAGAGACTGATCAAGCAGGGGAAAAAAGTTTAATTTCTATTTTTCCTGCATCACACTGAGGTGCAAAGCATAAGATGGGCCTTATGGTGAGAGGGAAGCTTCTGTCTGTGGAAGTGGATCCAGTCAATCACTGCAGCCTATTAAAGGGCAAACACGTAAGCAGAACTGAACAAGGGTGTTCTGCAGCCATTCTCAACCTTTTTTTGGCCACGGCCATCAACACGATACGAAAGAAATAAAGGTTGATTCAGGACTGCATTAGTCGCATAACGAACCTTATCAGGTGGTGTGCGAAGACCTGTTTCCAGTCTGTGGGCCCCTTTCAAATGGGCCAGGAGGCCACGGGCCTCCCTATTGAGAATGGCTGGTTTACAGCAACGCCCTAAAAGCCTACAGTACGTGGAGCAGCACCACTGGGCTACCATGTCCACTGTTTTCACTGCTGCCTCCCTCTGTCTCCCCTCCTCCACTGAACCTCACTGCTGCCACGATTTCTCTCGCCTACATCGACGGAGGAGGGGCTTCCCTGTAATGAAATCGAGGGCATTTTCACCCTGGGTGAAGGCTCTGCAGAAAGGGAGACCAGCAGCTTTAGGGAGCCTGCGTTTCTTTACAGGAAGGGTAGTCGGCACCTGTGGTGAGGGGAACCGACAGCAGAAGGTTGCACGTGAAGGGGAAAGAGGTGGCTGTGGCCACGGCTAAGTGAAACATGGAGAGAGAGGGAGGCTACAAGGGCCCAGGAAGTGACAGCAGTATTGGCCACCAATGGCGTTGCCCTACTCAGGGCAACCTCACGCAGACAAGGTTGCACGTGAAGGGGAAAGAGGTGGCCGTGGCCACGGCTAAGTGAAACGCACAGAGAGAGAGGGAATTATATATACTTCCAATGACAATACAGTGGTGCCCCACAAGATGATGTTAATTCGTTCCATTGAAATTGCTGTCTTGTGAAAAGATCGTCTTGCGAAAAGCGTTTCCCCATTGGAATGCACTGAAATCCATTTAATGAGTTCCAATGGGGAAAATCGTCATCGTTCTGCGAAAATCGCCCATAGGGATAATTAGTTGGTAGTTTTAAATTTCTGGGCACTTACATCTAAGAGGACCTCTCGTGGACTATAAATGGCAACATGGTAGTGAAGAAGGCACAGAAGAGGCTGTATTTCCTGAGAATGCTCGGCAAGTTAAATTTATCTCAGCATTTACTTCTGTCCTACTATCGTAGCACAATTGAGAGTGTCCTAACCTATGGCATTCTGGCATGGTCTGGGAGTACTGTAGCTCTGTAGTGGACCAAAAAAACTCTACAGAGAACCACTAAAATTGCCCAGAATATCATCTGGCTCCAGGTATCAACCCTGGATGACATCTTCACATCCTGCTGTCTGAAGTCGTCACACAGCATCCTTAGAGACTCTTCCCATCCTGCTTATAACTTTTTTGAACTGTTACCGTCTGGCAGAAGATATAAAACAATTAAGACTCAGCCCACATGTTTCCTGAATAGTTTTTATCCCAGAGCTATAACTGCACTTAATAATAAGCTTGAAGACCACCAGTAGTGAACATTCAGACAGTGTGACAGCCTGCGGTGTAGATATTTGTATTCTTAGTGGGGGATTTTTAGTGGGTGGGGAGTGTTTAGGGATTTTTTATGTGTGTGCATGTGGATCTGGTCTCTGGGTGTCAGTGTGAATTTCGTTGTATGGGTATACTATGTATATACTTCCAATGACAATACAGTGGTGCCCCACAAGACGATGTTAATTCGTTCCATTGAAATTGCTGTCTTGTGAAAAGATCGTCTTGCGAAAAGCGTTTCCCCATTGGAATGCACTGAAATCCATTTAATGAGTTCCAACGGGGAAAATCGTCATTGTTCTGCGAAAATCGCCCATAGGGAAGCCATTTTGCGAAGCATTTCGATCAGCTGTTAAAATCGCTGTATTGTGAAGCATCTGTCCTGAAAACACCCATTTTGCGAAGCACCAATCAGCTGTTAAAATCATCGTCTTGCGAAAAACGGTCTGCGAAGCATGGACCCAAACATCGTCCAGTGAAAATCGCTCATAGGAAACACTGTTTTGCGAAGTGCTGTAGCGATCGCAAAAACTCATCGTCATGCGGATTCGCCGTTTTGCAACATCATTGTCTAGCAGGGCACCACTGTAAATTTATTTGATTTGATTTGTAAAAACAGTAGGCCCAGTCTTAGTGGTCTAATTTCAAACACATCCAACTGCAGGCCCTTTATTTCTCTTCAGTCCTCGGCCTCCCCAATCAGCATGTTTGATCCCAACATCCAGCAGGAAGGTCTGAAAAGCTGCTCCCCACCCCCCCGGCACAAGCCACTCACACTCTTTCTTCACCGCCAACCGTCACAATACACTCCGAATATCCTCTGGGTTTGAAAGAAGCCAGCATTGCCTCCCCACCCTGTTGGGGCGAAGTGAGGGGGATATTGCTACACTCTCTGACAATCTCCCGTACCAAGGGCTCTCTCATCATTTGCTCGCGCAAGTAGGCAGGGTCGAGCCCGGACACCCAGACGGCCGACATCGCGTCCTTCATGTGGACCTGGTGGGAGGGAAGGAGACGGGAGAAAGAACAAGATCACAAAAAAACGTATCAGAACACAGCTTTGGAGGAAGGCTCAGTTCCAAGAACCCGTGCCGTCCTGGCAATGGAAAGGGAGAGATAAGGGGAAGAAAAGATTACAGTGGTACCTCGACTTAAGAATGTCCCTAGCTGCAAATATTTCGACTTACAAACGGCTCCATTGACAAAAATTGGCATTGCCTTGCGAACGGAGCCTTGACCTGTGAACGAAAAAAGGCAGGGGAAAAGGGTGGGAAATTTGAATTTCCCGCCCTTTCCCCCTGCCTTTTTGCCTTTGGAGGTATCCAAGGGCTCCCCCCTCCCCCCGGCATCAGAGGAAGCCCTTTGAGATCTCCGAAGGCAAAAAGGCAGGGAGAAAGGGCGGGAAATTTGAATTTCCAGCCATTTCCCCCTGACTTTTTGCCTTTTTCTTCCCTCGGAATGCGTTGATCGGTTTCCACTGCATTCCTATGGGAAATGGTGCTTCGACTTAAGAACTTTTCGAATTAAGAACGCGGTCCCAATACGGATTAAGTTCTTAAGTCGAGGTACCACTGTACTAATTGAATCTCTTAAACAAATGAACTGTGTTGTGCTGGAAAGGGGAGCGGGGAAGGCATTCGTTTGCTAACACCAAGACGCAGTTTGGAAAAATTTCTTCTGAGATGAAACCTCCCAGGATTCCCTCACACCAGTGCTGTCGTGCAGTTGTGGTCCAAAAAAATCCACCACCCAGTAACAAATGTCTCAAGCTCTCACAAGGACACACTTGGTGGAAAATGCATAGGGGTTTTAAAAACATAGGAAAAAGTGGGAAGGCTGGAGTACGGTCAGCCTCCTACGGAGCCTTCCGTGGAGAGGCAAGTCCCACCAGTGTAGGAAATGGGAACTTCTCTAACTTGCGCACGCACCACCATTGCACACAAGGCTCTGTCAAAGGAGAAGACTTGGCTACTCCTTTTGCAACAGCAATAGTTGCACAAATAGATTACCATGTTTCCCTAAAAATAAGACAGGGTCTCATATTAATTTTTGCTCCAAAAAAAAAAAAAAAAAAAAAAAAAACACACTAGGTTAAGACACCTGTCATCTTCTTCTGGTGACTGCCCAAGGGTGGAGGGCGGGGTTTCCCTTAACTGGGGCTTATTTTCGAGGTAGGGCTTATTTTGGGGGTAACAGGGTAATTAATTTGGTGCTTCTATATACCGCTCATTTAGTGCAAAGCATAACTTTAAGCAGTTTACAGCAACACAGTGGAACAGTGACCCAACCACCCAACCTTAAATGTCTGAAAGAAAACAAGAGATGCAAGCCAAAAAATAATGGCGACACTGGGAACAGACACAGAATAACTTAAGAGAGGATGCTTTTGAATTCCTCTTGAAACAGGAATCTTTAGCATCCTCTTAAAAGATTGGGGGGAGGGCACATGACATTCCAAATACTGCAATTCAGTGTTAATGAACTGATGAAACTTTTTGCTCTGTATGGTACCCATCTGTATTTCTGGCCTGCAAGAGAGTTAAAAACAGCAACTGAACCCTCAAAAGCCAGAGGAACAATTAAATAGGAAGTCAGGACAGAGCTGGAGAACTTTCTCCACATTCTTCCCAGATTTACACAATTTTGTTTTATTAATTTATCCAAACCAGAATTGTGTAAATAAATGAGACATGCAATTATAGAAAAGCATGCCTATCTGCTAAACTTGATCAACTATTATATGCTGCTTAAGCAGATTTTCTTAGTGTCAAACCTGGACAGTTTGGGCAAATATTAACCTTTTCAGTTTGGCATTGCTCACACCATGGCTCAACACTTATAAGATTTTCTTAGTGTCAAACCTGGACAGTTTCAGCAAATATTAACCGCAACGCCTGCCCCAAATGCAGGTTGCTTCAAGTACCCAAGGATGATAAAAAGTCAATTCTTGATGAGATTGCCCGTATTTTCAAACTGCATACCTTTCTTAAATCAGGATCGTGGGAGATCCACCTAACCACGGCGTCAAACACGTGCTTTTCATTCCCGACATTCAGCTTCTCCAAAGAGAGCACTTCTTTCAGCTTCTGAAGACTCAGTTCCAGAAACTCCTCTGTGTTGCTGACGTCCCGGAAGTGCGTCTCCAGGTATTCAGAGGCAAGGTAGTGCACGTGGTGCAAGCGATAGAGCAGGGCAAAGTCCCGGATGCCGATACAGTTCTCGGCAGCAATGCAACCCTCCAGGAACTCGCAACACAGCGCCTTGAGGTCTGTCATCAGCAACAGATCAGCAGTTTGCACAACATCTTGGATTGTGTCTTCACTTAGTCTGATCTGAAAGAACAGGGTGTTTTTTTTGGGGGGGGAGGGGAAGGACAAGAATAATTAGAGCAGTGGTAAAGGCTGCCAAAAGCAACATTCAAGACAGGGTCAAGCGTCCTCTTGAGCCACCTTTCTTGGCCATGCACGAACGTGCAGGGAATGGTGGTCCAGAATGGCCTCCTCCCCAAGCCTGTTAGCGAGAATAATTAGAGCAGTGGTAAAGGCTGCCCAAAGCAACATTCAAGACAGGGTCAAGCATCCTCTTGAGTCACCTTTCTTGGCCATGCACAAACGTGCAGGGAACGTGCAGGGAACGGTGGTCCAGAATTGTCTCCTCCCCAAGCTGACTGTGCCATAGTTACACTCAAAGGCTCTCTTGTTCCTCCTCCCCAGGTGTGTCTTTGTTCCTAGTGGCATTACGTCGACATACAAATCACTTCTGCTATGATGCAATGGGAAACATCAGGCAGGGAATGCCTTCAGTCCTCCAATGCTGGCAAAAATGTGGACCTTCCAAGATGGTCACACAGCGATTCCCAGCTGCCTTAACCAAGGATGTGGAATTGTGGGTGTTGGCAGTCCAACACCTGGAGAGCCGCACTCCGTACCTCCCTGGATTATGGGTCTCGTCTCCCAGAATTTGCTGCCACAAATACGCTGATGGATATAAGGATTCAGGGGAGAGGGGGAACAAACCAAACCAAACCCAAACCATGGTCTGAGTTTTATTCCGATTCCAGTGAGAATTCCTAATGCTTTGGAGGCTAGGCTGACGATATGGATATAATGGACAATTAAGATCTTCTGGTGAAAGAAGAGTCCATTTCCTCCTAATGGGGCCAAACTGCTGACAAGGAGAGTAAGTAACTTCTGCTTGGCTGCATTACAATTGCTGAAAATGATTTTATTTTTTTTTTAGGTTCCCAATACAATACAGTGTCTGAAACAAAAAAATCACTGAAGAACAAAAGGCAATAAAATTTTGAGGGGGGAAGGAAAGTCCTGTTTTTTTTAACTGTGAAAAAAACCTTATAAACTTCATATAAGAAATAACTGAAATAGGAGGAGATTTTTTATAAATGTTCCAATGAGAATGACACAGAACACCCCCATCACAGATTTAGCTCTATATGGCCTGATTCGGAGGGGAATGAAATGTCCGACCTGGTTATGTGAGGGTTAAGAGGGGATCATTGGGGAATATATCCATTTAGAGAATTTACTAAAGGGCCAGAGAGAAATTGACCAGGTTCCCTGGTGCATCAGAATCTCCCTTCTATCCATTCTTTTTGTAAGAGACACAGAGGTGCAAACGATGACTGAATTTCCAAATATACACAGAAAGGGTAGGATGAACTTTATTAATACAAACCTGGCCACTGAAGATGTAGTTTACTATCTCTTTCATAGTGTCAACAGGTATGCCTTTAAGTTCAATTTTATATGTGGACCCATCACCCTTTGGAGGATTATAGTTAAGTTTTGTTCTGAAATCAGAAGAGAGGATTGACTTTTAAAAGCAACGAAAATAAGAATATACCAACTCTTTGGCTTTCTACATGATCTGTCACCTATATAACCATTACTCACATATCATTGGTTGTCTGAACATCCTCTGCCAATTTCCGCTGGCATCTGACCTGTCTTCAGGCCCAGTGGGGAATAAACTCCCAACCTCTGGCTCCACAGCCAGATACCTAAACCACTGACCGATCCAGCAGTTTGTATCCTATGATGCGAAACTGTTATTTTGCCATCGGTCTCGTCTTCCTTATTTGCAAGGATCATTTGGTGCTTTCATAGTGGATTTCATAATATAGGTTTCTTTATATTTTTTGCTGTACATCACCCAGAGTAGCAACGTTGCTAGATTGCTGCAGCATAAATCGAATGAATGAATGAATGAATGAATGAATAAGCATCAACACATGAAGAGAAAACTGCTGGGGCTTTGTTTTTGTTATCATTCTGGACTGCATTTTAAATATTTCACAAACTCTGTTTACAAGCCAGAGTAACTGTTTGCAAGAAAAATCAATTGAAGTGGCTGTAATCCCAAAACAATACATCAAGAGGTATTTGTCAACAAAGATCCATGTCTGGAACAGGGTCTGATGTGTATTGTACTACGAAATAACAAGATAGCTGGAATCAGGATGAAATATACCTATCCAGCAAAGTCTGAATTGAACAGTTTTAATGTACACAATAACTGTTTCCAACATAATTTCATCCATCCATCAAATTTACATATAGGCTTAGGTCCTAGAGACAGTTTTGTCTTGCTAGCCGCTGTGGGAAAGGAATGTTGAACAAGGTGGACCTTGGTTTGACCCACCAAGCAGTTCTAATCACTGCGTAACTTTTGAAATCAAGTGGCACTGCCATCTGATCAGAACAAGGTATCTGCCAGAACCTGTAGCAAGCCTTTGTAGTTCTCGTATTCCAGCTAAGCCACTTCCTGTCTGAACAGGCTCGTGAACGGTACCCTGAATAAGTTTCCTGAGCCACATGGAAATAGCTTTGTCCAGAAAGGACACAGCAGGAATAGCTACAGGAGACAAGCTTATTATTAAGGATTTCTCTCTTACGAACAATCCATTTTTAAAATGGCTGCTTTTGAAGAAGGCTTTCCCAGGCTTCAAATATTAGGCTAGGGTGCAAATTGCTTGACTGACAAGTAAGGAACTCACCAACTCTTCCTTGCAAAGAGGGAAGTATGCTATTGAGACTCTTCAACAACATGGCTCAGGAGAACACATTTATGCAGAGACAAAATAAAGAGTTAACTACAAGGAAAAGAAATGGATCATGACGCGTTAGTCAGACTCAACACCCATGCAACTTTGCAATGTTCCAGCTACGGCTGAATAGCACAAAACCGGGTGTGTGCTGGGGCATGCAGGAGATGTAAATAAGTCATATTGTTACGTACAAAACTTGCATTTCCCCGTCGGGGTTGGGTCCTTACCAAACAGGAAATGCAAAATGCAAAAATGATAATGAAGAGAAAGTGCTCATGTTGTCAGATGTGCAAATCTACATAAACCTCAAGGGAACATTACCTGAGTCAGCATAAAGTGTTCACTTAAGTATCTGTGAAGATTCTCAGTCCTCCAGGTGAGGTTATCTGGAAGCTAAATCATGGCAACCAGCCTCCTTTCTTATTAGGCTGAAACGTTTCGCTCCCCATCCGAGGACTGTTGGCAGACACCACGTTGGCTTCACCTCCCCTTGGTCTGAACTGGCTTGTTAGATGGTCAAAGGACAGAGGGTGATTTCTTCGTGGAGGCTCTATCATCCGGGGTCTCCTACCAACTCTCGTCAGACTGAAGAAGCTGCTTGGATGACTAGGGAAACATTTCAACCTAATAAGAAAGAGGTCCAGTGGCCATGACTCACCTTCCAGATGTTCTCTTAAGATTCTTGAAAAGAATAAGTGAGCTTTTAAAAGTAAACATATAATCAAATATAAAAAGACCTGGAATCAAAACCCAAGACTCTATGGGGCACAGACAGGACGCCCCAAAGGACCTGTTTAGGTGGTACATTTTCTTCACTGTAGGGGAAGAATTGTTTAATAATCTTAGACGTTTACATGTTTACTGTGTTTATTGTAAAGTTTAAGACCGAACTACACAGCAGACTCATGTCCTTTAATGTGGTTTTGCACCTATTCTAAGTAACACAGAGGGTAGGTGTGCAACTGAAACCGCAAAATGAACATCCAGACGGAAAAAAAATATGCTAATACTATTCTCTTTTGCCAGACTCTCTACCTCTCAAAGTCTGATCCACCTCTCTCTCTGTGTGTGTGTGTGTTTGTGTGTGTAGTACTCTCCTCCAATGTTGATAACAAAAACTGGAATATATACAGCACTTACTTCCTTAGTTTCACACAACGAAAACTGTATGATGAAATTTATTTATTAAAAATATTTTACCTTGCCTTTCTCCTTAAAAAGGACCCAAGGCAGATTATATCATTGAAAGACAGTTATAAAGCTAAAAACAATAAGTATACAAATACTTAAAAAGAACAAACAGATACCATTCTGAGAATTTTTTTTAAAAAAAAGTAGTACTAAAAACCCAGTAAAGCACAACCATGTATCTAAAAATCACACTCAGATAGCCAGTCCTTGAGGGAAAGCTTGCCTGAAGAGAGAGGTCTTTGCCTGCTTGTGGAAGGATAGTAAAGATGGGGCCAGCTGGGCCTCCGGTGGGAGGGAGTTCCAAAGTCTGGAAGCTGCAACAAGCTGTAAATTACAACAACTTATATACACTGCAATCTGCCACCAGAAAGCCACAACTTTCTAAATATTACCCTCTCCACCACAATTTTACCATTCCCACCCATTCAGATTTTCTTATTTCTAGATCCATCACCTAGAAATGAGCCCAGACTGCAGACCCCCATGGAAGACATTCGATCTCATGGCAGAGAGCTTCCTGTACAAATCAGGCATTTATGTCCTGAATTTTATATAACACGACACTCAGGTTACCTAACCTTTTATCACCCTTTGAAATTTACTATAACTTTACTAATTTTAGATACCTTGCAATGGTAGGAGGACCCCAGCGGAACATTTAGATAAGGATACACATTTTGAAAGAATCCTGCACAGTATAATACTCCGTATTAATTCCCCCCATTTTTAGGAATGGATTTAGTAGACACATATTTAAAAACAAAAAAAATGTGACACTATCATATACCCCTGGTTTCACTCAATGGGCAAGGCAACAATCTACACATTTCTTGGCTGCTAAAATGTTGATGCTGTCTTTGGTCCAAATCAACTTTGTGCCAGGCCACCACCACATAAGCTTATTTATACCCTAGTTAAATACTTCCTCAAAATTTGTGAGATGCCAGAGAATTTTTTCCCCTCACGTTAAGCCCAACGGAGTCTTCGGCACTAATTGTGCTGTATAAATGAACACATCGTTTTATTAAATAAACTGCTGCTAGTTGGTTTATAATGCCCCTTGTTTTTATAAGTCTAAAAATAGTCTTCGGTCACTATGCTTTAGTGAAATGGTTCTAGAGGTCCTTACGTGTCGCATCATCACACAGAAAAGCAATGCAACAATCCCATCCCCCAGAAAGAAACAAGGCTTTGTTTTCCCTACCGTTCCATCTTCCAGATCACACCCTCACCCTTCGGCTATGTGCATGAAATATATGAGCGTTCACCGCACCCTGCTGCGGAGTGCCAATTTTCTGACTTTTTTGCTTACCTGTTCTTTTTTAGGCACTCCATGTAAAATGAGGAAATCAAAGGGACGGAACAAATACTTGCAACATCACTGAACTTAATCCCATCTCTCCACCCCAAAGAAGCGACAATGACTCTCCAGTTTGCCTACTACCCCATCTTCCTTCCCCAAAACGCACTGCAGAACTGTGACCGGCAAGTCTAAGCATCATGTTGCTTGGATCACACTGCAGAGATCTATGAATTGCCAATGGCTTGTTTCTGGGTTATGCATCCCAATTCGATTGGAAGAAATAAACCAGCATCCCAGGTCCAAACATCAAGAGGAACTGGGGAGAATCCTACAGTACTTTAAAATACTGCCCATGGGACAGACAGACACACACACAGAGGAAATGGAGCAAGCTGTTTCTGCAATTTTCTGGCTGTCTGCCTTACACTCAGGTGCACAACCAAATGTGTGACCTGTGTATGTTGAAATTAGTCAGCCAGAATGACCACAAATGGCAATTATGCAAATATGGACTTACACTGCACAAACCTAGCAATAAGCTGATCATCATCTATTTCTATTTAGCTTTATCCACAAAGCGAAAAGGATATATGTGCCTCATTGGGACCTGTGGTGTAAATACCAAGTTGCTTACATCACACTGCTTAGACCTCTGAATGTGCATCACTCTGCTCGTGGTACACGAGGATAAGCATGTGATCTTAGCTTCCTGTTGCGTACCAATGTGGCCATTCAAAGCTTTGACGTTTACACTCGCACAAGATGTTTTGCTATAATACAGCAAGACCAAAGTATCCTCAGGGGATCAATTCCAAGCCTGCTCCCCTGGCAGATGCAAAACAAAAAACAAAGCAACAACAACAAAATGGGTATAGAAATGCTATATAGAGCTCTGGGTTCCCTCTACTGACCATCTCTGGTAATACACCCTGGAAACACACATCTCTGTTTTTTTTTTTAATATTTTCAGGAAGCTGATAAGTGAAACCACGGGCACTAATCCTGCAGTCCTACTGTGTCTGCAAGCTGATGGACGGCTTGAAACATCCTAGCCAGGTTTATAGCCATAGAGTCATAATGTCAATTCTTCTCCACATGCACAGAAAATCTTGACTAAATAAGTATACATTCCACTTTGCACCTGTACATCAACTGGCCAAAATTTGTGACCTATCTGTGAACAGAGAGGTGGTAAAGCTTTAATATGCTCTAATATTAGTCCTGTGATTTAACAGACAAAAGGAAAGCTAATGTTGACACACCTGGCTATGTTTCAATGGGAAATCTAGTTCTCAATTACAGTCCTGTAAATCTTCCACCTATTCACGGTACTGTCCAGACTAGCAGTACAGGGAGTTGCGGTTGCTAGATCTTTTCTTAAGCAGCATCCAGTCTCTTAGAGGTATGTCTCTTTGGTTACGGTACATGTATGTATAATGATAATTCATGGTTATCTTACAGCATCTACTGAAGGGCCATTTCTCTTTAAAATTCTGTTTTTAAATGAAAACAACTCACATGCTTACTATAATGACCTGTTCTTGCTGTTGTGTTGCTTTGTGCCATTAAGTCCCCTCTGAAACTTAATGGCACATAACAAACTCAAACCTGTGGCTTCTTTTGGGGAGTCCATCCATTTTGTATTTGGTTTTCCTCTTTTCCTGCTGCCGTTCATTTTTCCCAGCATTCATGTCTTTTCCAGAATTCTGCCTTCGCATGGTGTGTCCAAAGTAGGACAGCCTCAGTTTCAACATTTTTGCCTCGAGGGAGAGTTCAGGCTTCACTTGTTTGTCTTTCTGGCTGTTCAGGGCATCCACAAAGCTCTCCTCTGGCACCATATTTCAAACGAATCTATTTTTTCCCCCTGTCAGCTTTCTTAACAGGCCAGTTTTCACACCCATACATGGTGACTAGAAATACCAGTGTGGATGATCTTGACTTCCCATTACTTCAGAATGACTCAGTCTGCAAAGCCACGCTGACTGTGCATAGGTAGCAAAAACGATTTTTTTAAAAAAAAAGTCTGAAAAGAGCACCCAAGATTTTTAGCTATACAGCTTACCATGGTGTCTAACAGAATAACCACTGCCTCACATTCACTTTCAAAGAACTGTTCTTTGTCTTACACAAAGGGATTTAAAGTTGGATTAAACTACTCCAGGCTCAGAAATGTCATCCAAATTATCAGCCACAACAAACTGTGTTCCAACAGCTCCACCACTTGTCTTTATCCTAATTTTCTTTACGGCTTCAGCCAAATACATCCATAAAACTATACACAGCACTGTTCTGGAATCCAACATGAAAGTGACGTTTCGCATTAAGTGGACGGAGCATGGGAAAGCCAAGGGAAACCTTTCGCGCAGAGAGCCCCCCCCCCCCGTTCACTCTTCTCCATACACTGGCAAGAGAAGGACTAACCAAGATTAATATTTGTTTCCCTTACTCTCTGGATTGCGCTTATGCACTGTTTGTAGTTATGGTTTATGATAAACAGCAGCCCACTGCTAACCAGCCCACTGCAAAAGAAAGAGATATTAGACTGAGAAAAAACAGAAGAGGCCCTGACAGACATATTAAAGGTTAAGACACCACTGGCAAGAGAAGGGCTGACCAAAATTAATATTCATTTCCCCTACTCTCTGGATTGCGCTTATGCACCGTTTGTAATTACGATTTAAGATAAACAGCAGCCCACTGCAAAAGACAGGGATATTAGACTGAGAAAAAACAGAAGAGGCCCTGCCAGACATATTAAAGGTTAAGAAATCTGTTAAAAGAAAGAATAAATAAGAAATGTTGAGGAGAGAGGTTTATCTTCTTCTGTATCTTAGATCTGAAGAGCTGGAAGGGACCCTTTTGATCAACTGAGTCCTGCGTCTGCCAAGGAGGCCCAGTGGGGGAATCAAACTCCCAGCCTCTGACAGCCAGAGAGTTAAACCAGAGAGCAAGCCAGCACTTTACATTATTCCTGGGAAGAAACTGATTCAGCCTTTCGGGGGCCCGGGGGCCCAAAGCCATTTCTTCACTGAACACAGGGGGGCAGAAACAGGACGAGAGACCTAAACCACTGAGCAACCCAGCACTTTACATTATTCCTGGGAAGAAGCTGATTCAGCCTTTTGGGGGGCCTGGGGCCCAAAGCCAAGAGTCCGAAGCCATTTCTTTACTGAACACAGAGGGGCAAAAACAGGATGAGAGAAGGGCTTTGCAGGAGGTCATGGAGCATAGACTTTACACCAATGGTCCCCAACCTTGGGCCTCCAGATATTCTTGGATTTCAACTCCCAGAAATCCTGGCCAGCAGAGGTGGCGGTGAAGGCTTCTGGGAGTGGTCCTCCAAGAACATCTGGAGGCCTAAGATTGGTAACCACTGCCTTACACCATCTCAACCATTACTGGCTACACTGATCACCCACCGTTTTCAGGCAGTGGTCTTTTCCAGCCATAACTGCATTGCCAATAGCAATTATCAGCCTTTGTACAAAGGTACACTTTCCAGGGTTGTTTTTGGAAGAAATTAATATTATAGTACAGATATACTCTAGGCAAGGCTTTAGGAATTCCTGCAGCGTGCAGCTGCAACTTCTTATCAGGCAATTTCGTCTGGTTCCAGCCTCTCCCTTTCTTAATTAGACATGTGGGCTAAGAGTCATGTCACATCCATCGGCGTCTCCATCTCCCCATACTATCCATGGCACATTACGCATACTAGCAAGCTGCTCTATATAGATTGTATCTTCGGGAAGACCAATGTCATTAAATACAATCCTGATGTCTCTGATGGGGCTGACATCTAGAATGACGACCATTCAAAAATGCCCTACTTAATGCCAGATTAGGCGCTGCTTCCTCGTGTCAGACCAGAATGCAATCCCCATTTAAATTTCCTTACAGCTTAGCAACATCCAGAAAATATTATCTTTTCTCCTTTAGTTCAGCGAGTGTGAAAACCAAATCCTCAACTTGAAAACCCAAGTTGAATCAGTAATTAGCATGGCCCACAACTTCTTTTGATACCCAGTGTGGTTTAATGGGATACAGCGAGGGACAATGATGCAGAAGGCTTGAGTTCAAATCCAGGCTCAACTATGGAAACTCACTGTGGGAGGGTGTGGAACTGGTAAAGCAACTCCTTAAATATCTCAATTGCCTTGAAAGCCTTATTAGGGTTGCTGTAAGTCAGTTTTGTCTTGAAAGCACATAAGATAACAAGCATCTTCTTTTAGACTAGGGATGATATCTTTTTTCTCTGCTACAGATAAGGTGAAAATGATAAAGGAATTCAAAGTGGAAAAAAGATATTCTAAACAATTTAGCTGATGACTTTGTAATAAATCATCAAAGGAGTTAAGTACCTGCTAGGACAAAAGTCTATCTGAAATTTTTTAAAGCACTCTCCCCCACCCACCGGCAAATCAAACCTTTTTATTATCCTGATCCATCTGATGCTAAAAATACTTTTTAATGCTTAGAACATTAAAACCATAAACACACACACACATACTTTTATTCACTCAAAGTGACCTATGTGGTTGCCAATCCATCGAATTCTCAGCATGACTCCACATTATCCACAGAAAGTGATTCAGTTACAGATTTCATCTTACTCATGACTAATGCTCTGGGCCAGATCTGTAAACAAATTTGAACACCTTGTTCCTTTTAGGGATGATAATAATGATAATGATAATAACAATGATACGCATTGTGTCAATGGAAAATTAAGAAATTCATTATTCCACCAAAACATGTTATTAACTAGCCAAAGCTAAAGGTGAATAAAGACCACTTGTCAACGCTGGTATATTGACCAAAAACAAGAAAACACTGTGATACCTTAAGGATTAACTGCTATATTATAATGTGAGCTTTCGTGGATCTGGCTCACAATTCATGTTTTCTGGATTTATACTGATTAAAGTAAACATGCTGAGATGCATGGATAGATCAACAAACAGATGGCTAGACAGACAGATTGATAGCCGGATGGATGAGGGATGGCTAGACAGAGAGAAAGAAACAGGTCATAAACAATGCCGATTCATTTCTTTGTTTCCGAACCTGTTTTATCTATTAAAGGTAGGAACACGAGCAATAAAAAAATTCCAGTATTTCTCAACGTTTCAAGTCACAGGCTGCATAAGAGAAGACAGTGATGTTTGGGGCTACAGAAGACCTCTGAATTATGTTTAAGCCTGACATTAGCCCATTTCAAAGTCTGGGTATCCATGTGTGTAATCAGCATTGTAAAAACTGACATCAAAGGAGCTAGCAGCAAAGCTAAAACCATTTTCAAGATGGTGTTTTGGTGTTGAAAAAAAAATCTAAACCAATAAAAATGGATAATGACAAGCCTACAAATCCTGATGGGATCATAAAGAACTCAAACAACACCTGTCAGACAAAGATGCTACTACCTACCTGCTGTGCCGGCTTGGGCAGAGTCTAGGTTTTTTTCCCTGCCAGTGTATCATAATGGCTGGCCAGAGGCTTTCTCCTGTTTGCAGTAAAATGAGATTAATGTGATTTTAAGGAACTCAAACAACTAAAGGACATGAAAAACAAGGGTGGAGGGTGTCTCAATCTGGCAATCCTTTGGGATCGGCCTGTTCTTCTTCAGCCTTGTTTTGTGTCCTGCGAAAACACACCTGGGGCTTTGTGTTCATCTGTCCCCTTTAAAAAAAAATCAACTGTCTTTGTATTGTTTGAGAAATCTATGCCAAAGTGGAAAACAGAACGGTTAGGACAGGGCAGGACAGCAGAGAGGAAAGCAAGGGAGAGAGCAGCAACTAATGGGGTGAACAAGAAATTGGCAAATTCATGAAAGCAGTGAACAGAAAGGAAACACTGGGATCCAACCAAAGGCAGCCAATAATTGTCTGTGCCCTTCATAGAGACCGTTCTAAATTACTGTTTCCCCGAAAATAAGACCTAACCTGAAAGTAAGCCCTAGTAGAATTTATCATGATGCTCATAATATAAGCCCTACCCCCCAAAATAAGTCCCAGTGAAGTGAAACCTTGCCCTCCTCCCTTGTGCAGCAACCAGAAGATAACATGACTGTATTTGAATCAATGTAAATGGTTGTGCATGAACAAAATAAAACATCCCCTGAAAATAAGCCCTAATGTGTTTTTGGAGCAAAAATTAATATTAGACTCTGTCTTATTTATATTAAACAACATGCTTGTATAAATTCTGGTACTGTGCCATACCAACAGTAGCCAACCCAGTTCCAAAGAATGAATGAACAGATCTGCCAAAAAAATAAAAATAAAGTCTTGGCACACAAGACTTCTCCTACACAATGAGAACCAACTAGAAATCTCAAGTCTAAATTCACCTGTTAGCCCCAATGTGAGCAGACACAAGGGCTGGGTTAGAAAACTCCTACCGATTTTGTGGGTCTGCTCTGATTTGGACTAGCCACCAGATTGATGACAAAATTCCTCAATCTTAAAGATGTGGTCTGTGCGTTTGTGCAATTCACCCATGCTAAGCTGAAGGGGCTACGTACAGGAAAAATGCCTCACTGATCAGAGAAAAGACTTAATAAGCATAACGGAACAAAACCTTTGAGTTCACAGTTAGTATACAATCAGTTGCTAACAACAAGTCTCCATGATCCTATGCAAGTTGTGAATATCTGGCAGGTGACAGACAGAAAGTTCTGGGCGAAGTCTGACCTGCCCAAAGTCATGCATGATTTAGTTACATCCCAGTTAGATTACTGTAACACGCTCTATGCGGGGTTGCCTTTGGAAAGTGCTCAGAAACTTTGATGGGTGCAAAACGTTGCAGCCAGATTGTTAACTGGGGCTGGTTATAGGGGTCACATAACTCCCTTCACAGCAGCTCTGTGGGCTGCCAATCCAGTAGAGCCAGATATTAATTCTGGCCAGAATTCATAGTGCTGCTTTTAACCTAAATGGCTTGGGTCCAACCTGCCTTAAAAAACTGTGTTTCCCTCTGTAAGCCTGTCCAAGTGTTAAGAATATCAGAGGAGGCCTTTTTCTCATCCCACCACCCACACAGGAGCATTTGGTGAGGACACGGGAGAGGGTCTCCTCGGTGGTTGCTCCCAGACTCTGGAACTCCCTCCCACAGGAAGCCAGGCTGGCCCCATCTTTGCTGTCCTTCTGCAAACAGACCAAGACGTTTCTCTTTAGGCAGGCTTTTCCTTAGTGATTTTCTCCCCTCTAGGACAACTTTTTTGGGGGGCCACAGTGCTCTTAAGAGCTCTTCCTAGGTTCCAGGGTCCCTGCCAGACAAGGATACAACATGAACAGATGAATACAAAAGCAGAATAGAAAAATCAGTAGTGCTGGTAGTGACAATAACGATGGTGGTGGTGATAACACATCCGGTTTTGCAAACAGGTCATCTCGCCCGCAACATTTTAAGGACTCAATCCCTAATTCTGAACCTTGACCTTTACGCCTGACCCAAAGCAGCAAAATGCTGAGAAACAACAACAGTACCAGCATTAACATTGGCACTAGTGTATCAATACAACAATGCTTGGAAAGGTGGAAGGCAGCAGGAAAAGAGGAAGGACCCAACGTGAGATGGACTGATTCCCTAAAGGAAGCCATAGGCTTGAGTCTACAAGAGCTGAGCAGAGCGACTGAGGAGAGGACCTGCTGGAGATCCCTCGTTCTTAGGGTTTTGCTGTGAGTCGGAGGCGACTCGACAACAGCACAACCGGCACCACCACAGATCACACTAGTAAGCCTATTTCCCTTTAAAGGGAATTTCAAAGAGAAATGCCCCTTTGGAAGATGCTAGAAGAGGACCGTCTACCTGTGACCTGGGCAAAATGCAGCCCTCCAGGTGTTGCTGAACTGCAAATCCCAACACTCTCCACTACTGGCTAGGACGGCTAGGACTGCTGGGAGCTGAAGTTCAGCAACATCTGGAGGACCGCATTTTGCCCAAGAGATGTGCCTCTAAAGAGTTTGGCTGCTGCTATTTAGTTTTATAAGAAGAAGAAGAAAAGGGGGGAGCCTTGGTGACTTTCTAGAGACTTCCAGTCCAGGCAGAAGATTTACAGCCCCGTAATTGGAAGGGGAGGGGAAAAAAAATCTTGCATCGAAATCCCGCTCGGCTGTGTCAACCTTAGCTTGGCTTTTGTCTATTAAACCACGAGGCTCATATCGAACCGTCCGTGAATCATCCTTCTCTGCACCCATGGACTATAACCCAAACAAGAGAGATTATTTGGGAGACCACTCCTTCCTGGAGACGCCTCGGTGGCCTACGGGAATTGGTTCCTTTCAAAAATAAAAGGCTTTGCAAACCTATTGTTTTAGATTTCCTTGCCTCTTGAGACTTCCAGGAGGTCATTCACTGGAAACACAGGATTCCTCGTAGTAGGGCAGGAGCTGCCTCCTCTTCAGACTCTCGGTTCTTATTAGCTTTAGGTATTATTGTATTGCCCTTTTGAGGCGGCCAACCCCTACTCCCCACTCCCAATGCCTTGCAGCTGGAAAGGCAGCCTCTCAAGGAAAGGGGACCCGCCTGGGCTCCTTCAAACAGGGGAGGACTAA